GAATCGAATCCATTAATATTCATTACATTGGTTAGGTAGACCAAAAGCCCTAGCGATTTCATCCATTGCATATTCGGTTAGTGATCACCCTTGCTTCTATTTTCTTTTTCTAGTTTTTATTTTCAGTAGTTCTTGCTCAAATTTGAATTTCGATTGTCCACATAATTAGGGAAGACTGTGGTTCTAATACTTAGTTTGTTAAATCCCCGTGGAAACGATATTTTTATACTACTTGATAACTAGTACACTTGCTAGGGTTATATTTATAACTATCATACTTTACTCATTTATTGATAAATGTTTATGTACATCAATTTGATTGGAGCTAAGGGCATACACTATCTGACAATAAGTTGTTTCAATTTAGTGTAAGTGCTTAAAAATGAATATAGTATCAAGTGTTTTGGCTTGGGCCCTAGGTAAAATCTATTTGATATTCCATGCCTATCATGACATAAAAGTATTACTTTATGGGTTTGTGGCCCCGAGTAGAACTAGATATAAAAGGCCATTACTCAAATTTGGAGGATATTCTCAAATTCTTCAACCAATTTTCTCATGCTTGCCAACCTGAGATTTTACCATGTATTAAAGAATGGCCCCTGCAGTTCTAACTATTACCTTGGAAAAATAAAGCAAAAAGGTGTCTTAGGCTATGTATGTCATTGTTCCTCAAAATGGATGCAAGGCTTCTGTTTGGTGACATGTGACTACATTGTTCCAAGTAAATTGGAATAAGAGAATGATATCATCAATGTGAGGACTGCTTGCAAAAGTAATTTACAATAAGGATGTAAATCAAGTTCCAACTACAACACCCAAAGTAAAACTATCTTTAGTCTTTACAAATTCATACAGAACAATACTTGCTACATCCCAAAGCCAGGTAAATAGGGGCAAACCTAAATTCATATATCTCAATACTAGAGGCAGAAAATATGAATACAAATGCCCAGCCTGAAACAAGGTTCTTTTTTGTTCTAGAAATTGGACTTCAATTCCACAATGTTGTTCTTGTAATAGGAATTTTATTCCAATCCATATGCGTCAGGTACACAGATCAGATTGAAGGACTAATGCTTATTGAGAGCTGCTTTGAGCAGTTTCCCCTTGCTTGTCCAAGAAACGAACAACAACACAAGTAATATTATCAGCACTCCCTCTTTGCAATGCTTCCTGCATCAACCTCTTGGCTGCTTGCTCTGAATCCTCAATTGATTTGATCATGGAAACAGCCTCCTGGAAGAATTTAGAAACCAAGCAAATTAATTGTTCTTCTTCAATGAAGCAATTCCATAGAAGATTTTGTCCCTGATTCTATCGTATTATTGGAAAACATTATCCATCAATTTAGGTCAATGGTGTACCACCTCTTGTATGGACCATAGCCAAAATCATATCAATTAACATGGTGACCAAACAATGGAAAATGAGAAAAGCGTTGTAGAGTTACAAGAAAATAAAAATTGGAGAAAAATGAGTTATAGTTTCCCTTCCCATCTTTTCAACTTCTAGGAAACTTTTACATTGGAAGCAGCTTTTAACTTTTCCATCCAAAAGGACAACCAATTCAATGCATACCAAATGCACCATAATGAAATTTAAAAATGAAAAACATTAGGAAACCTCATTTGAGACAACATCCCACAGCCCATCACTTGCCAAAATAAGAAATTCCAGGGAGCTGTCAACCACTTCCTCCTGCAGTTTAAAAAGCAATATAATTAACACACACAAGCACACATTGGAGGGGAGAAGGGAAGGAAGAACCTTAACAATAACAACAACCATAACAACAATGGCTATAAAATTTCAAAATATAATTAATGCATATCTAATCTGAAAAATCCATTCAAGCTTGATAATATTGGTTGAGTTCTTAATACTATTTTCCTGTACACATATTTTAGCCATCTGGAGGGAACCTGGCCATCCATAAAGTAGGAACCACTGAATTTTGAACACTTGACAAAATCTTATTGGAGATTTTCCTTGTAATAGAAAAAAAAAAAAAAACTTGTATTTTTCAATAGGCTGAAATTTTGAACACTTGACAAGATCATATAAGCTGAAATAATGAATAAAAGGAGTGCAGAGGAATTTAGGAGCACCTTATCAACTCAAAAATAAATTTCAATGTAGAAGATTAAAATGAATGACTAGTAATCCAATTCTGATAAGATATCTCAGATTAGACCACTATTGCATTGCGTGAGTTTGATTAATTTGGACTATATCCTAGCAGATTCGCTTACTTTAAGAAATAGGAAGATGTAAACCATATAATGTTTCTAGATTCAAACCTGAATATCAGGATCTGCAACAACAAACTGCTTTAAAAGTCTGTCACCAAATGCACGAGAAACAGCAAGAACACCACCAACTCTCCAAGTACCTGTAGCAAATTTTTTTATTCATTTACACTAACAGTAAAAATTAATAGGCTATAAAAGCTAAATAAGATGATTTCCTCACCAGCCCATATCACAAAACCTCCAGCATCTTCAATTCGTTGTCGTTCATCAGTTTGGTCGGGCTTGTGATCTCGTGAAACAGCTATAGCTATAGATCGAATGGAGGATGTCTTTCTTAGATGATGGCAAAATAAAGCAAACAGGCGATACAAAAAAAGCATTTAATGATTATATAGCCCTAAATTTGTCTTATATCCTTTCCTTCACTCTACTTTGCATGCATAAATTTGCATTCTAAAAGAAAACCTTATATTTTGTCAATCCAGCTATAATTTTATGACCAACATTATCTTCAAGCTCTCTCCTTATCAATAATGATGATTAGAGAATTGAATGATAGTACTAGGTTTTATCCTTAGGTCATTAATCTTCTCTGACAAGGTGATGCAAGAGTACTAAAGTATAAAATATAAAGGAGTTCCTACTTTATGCTTGAATGGTAATATTTAGGCCCCATAGGATGAAGGTTCATTAGATCCATTGAGATCTAAAAAATCCCTACTTTAGGAGATTCAGAAGGGTATTTTAGGAATTCTGCTTTCTTAGTTTAAATTATGTAGTTGATTGAAGTTTGTAGCTTATCTAAGAGTCATAATTCACTTGAAAAATCTTTTGGCTTGTTTATATACCTTTCCTAGTTTCTTTTACCTAGCATGAATTTTATTATTTATGGTACTAAATTAAAGTTTCTACTATGCATATTAATTGGCACTGCCCATTTATTATTACTTACAATTGTTAGTCTAAAAGGATGTATTCCTGGTTGTTTTGTCTATTTTCTTGTTATCTCCTTTGGAATTTGGATAAAAAAAAAAGAAATCATTTTATGAAAATCCTTTATAAAGTTACCAATAGAAAAAAAAAGCACAATAGTTTAGTATATAATTTCTTACCATTCCCACCCCTACAAATAACAGCCCTGGAATCCCCAACATTTGCAACTAGCAAACGATCACCAACAAGTATTGCTGTAGAAGCTGTTGAGCCAGCATCTTTAGTCTGAGTGTTTTCTGATTTGAGAAATTCTGAGTCCGTATGGTTGTATGCATCCGCTGTACAAATAGGAAAAAATGGGGCAAAACCAGACAAAGAACTGTTGGAAAAGATTTACATAAAATAAGAAGCTTTTATATTGATATTAGAATAAGAACAAGCACCTATGGCTGATTTGGTATCAGATATGAACTTTGGATGCCTGATCAAATTACTAAAAAGGTTTTCTTTCACATATTCTGCAGCTCGAGCACCCCCATGACCTGAAACAGCCACAAGAGTTGTAAATGTGAAAAATTTTATCAATTGAAATTTTTAAAACATCTCCAAGGTACATATTTCATATTTTACAACTAGAAGGATTCCAATTTTATCAATAGCTGTCTGCAAAAGATGGAGTTAATACTGTCATATTTTATGATACTGCATCCAAATTTCTAACTTTTGCAAAGAATAACAATATAACACACTAAAAATAGGATAAATTGTTTATACCGCTCCTGGGGTTTGGGTCAAATACTTATACAACATTGGGAGGTTACCTAATGGCTTACACCCCTTTTAACCACCAAACTAGAGGTTTTTTTTAAGCCTAGAAGGCGAAATTCATTCATAAATGCTCATTTACAAGGCCAGAAAATATAACCAGCGGAAAATACAATTAGAAATTAGAGGGGATTTGTTAACGTGGGAGAAACAATTTAGACATAAAAATATATTTTACTACAAATCCATAAAGCTGAGTTTGGAAGGAGTACAAATGTAAATATGTAGAGTGCAAAATCTTATATTTTGTATTATTTTGTATGTATTTACGCTGTACATATTTGCATTTGTACTCTTTCCAAACCGAGCCTAATGAAAAGCATCCTTATTTTATAAACACTAAACGTATTTGTATAACCTCAAATTTATTTTTTAAGCGCTATTTATTGATGCAATGGTAAAATCCTGAGCTCACAAGTATGACAATGAAGGTTCAAGTCTGAGAGTAACTTTGATCAAAAAAGAGTTTCAACATTGTGCAAAAACATGCCAAAACCCCATATATCCAGGACCAACATTGGACAATGGATTTTATCTTAACTTATATTTTATTTTGATTCTTTCATAACTCTATTTTCAACTTTTCATTCATACTTTATTATCATGGCAAAAAAATTGTCCCTCAAAGAAGTATATATAAGGATAGTTTTATTTATATAATATTCAAGAAGAATGATCAAAGAGGGTATAAAATGAAATTTAAAAAAAAATTAAATATCAAATACACACTCTTATATATTGCAAAAACTGATTGCATGTTATTGGAGTTGGAGGGGTGGAATAAGTAATCCAACCCGAAATTGCAAGAAGTAAACGGTTAAAACCCAAGGGCAAGTCTTTGTATTTGACAAAAATCCCAGGGAGGCATTTGTAATTTACTCATTATATGTATCTACTTACCATCAAAGACTCCAAAGAGACCAACTATCTCCCCATCAACACCGTCAATTCTCGTCTCATAGAAATCTTCCATTGAAGACCTTTTCCCCCGAGAGCTTGCATATCCATAGCTAAATTTCCCATTGTGACTGTTAAGGGAAAAAAATGTTAAGTTAGCATTACAAATGTACATTAGGTAGTTTTATAAAATTTCAAAACAATTCTCTTAGTGGTCCCTAAATATTTCATAAAGAAATGTAAGTAACTTCATGCCTCAAAATGCTTATTGCTTTTCTTTTAGGTTATGTTTGGTTTGAAAGAAAAAGTAGGGAAGGAAGGGAAACGTAGGAAAACTTATACAAGTTTTGTAAAGGTTTTCATACATTTACCTTCTTTTCCCTACTTTTTCCTTCAAACCAAAGACAGCTTTAGTGAATTAACTGTTAAAGAAACATTTAATTAATAATTTAAGAAAATGCATTGGTGTGTTGAAATTTTCAAAAGCCTTTCCATCATACACTTATTACACTATGCGTTGTGATATTTCAATTCATGATATATAAGCTATAACCAATCCACAACATTTAAACCATAAGATTTCAAAGCAATTCATTCATGACAAGGAAAACAATCATCTATTATTGTTTAGGCTCAGTTTGGAAGGACTACAATACAAATATGTACAGTACAATACATACAAAATAATGCAAAATATAAGGTTTCGCACTCTATATATTTATATTTGTAGTCCTTCCAAAGAGTACAAATTCAAATATGTAGAGTATAAATACATACAAAATAAAGGGTTTTGCACTCTACATATTTGTATTTCTACTCCTTGAAAACCGAGGCTCAGTTTGGGAAGAGTACAAAAACAAATATGTACAGTACAAATATATACAAAATACAAGATTTTGTGCTCTACATATTCGTATTACACCTTACAGACTGAGCCATAGTTGCAATAACATGGACTATATTGCATCAATAATTAGTTACACAAGAAAGTTTGCCTCCCCACAGCAATCTTAATGCATAAAGCATATCCAACATAAGTGGTTCGACATGCAAGTTAAATTCAAAAAAAAAAAAAGATTTTCAATAATGTACTTCATCCATCTACTATTTTTCTCTATCATTATCAAACATTAGACAATATTAGTTGAGTCTACATCAACATCATCATAACCCAAACCTTATCCAAACTATATGGGGTCAGCTATGAATTTGTATAAAGCTTATTTGTGGTAAGACATTAATCCTCCTGACTGGGATGTTGGATAAAAGTTTCGTATTTTGGAACTATCTTAGTTGAATAGTTTACTTTGTGTATAAAATAAAATAACAACAAAAAATCTATTGCTAATTAATCTATTATCACATGACCACTAAAATTCAAATTTAAATCATTATTACAATTTTAATATATTTCACAATTTGTAGTTTATATATAGCTCACAAGTACAAACAATATTACAAAGACCAATGATTTTTTTACATGATAAAAATTTATTTATATGCAAAATAGTAAACAAAGTTGACTAATTATTACATAAAAACCAAGAATATCAATAATTATACTCATGTGAAACACAAAATGTCTAACGTGCAAGCAAAAGAACATCCATATATAATTTCTTAAAAGAAAATGACCCTAAATAACTACAAATGAATGGCTTTATATCTAACAGACAAAAGAGAAAAGGGAACTTACCTAAAACCCCCACCACTAACAAGGGCATCATCAACTTGGCATCCACTTGTAGGCAACGTAGAATTCAGATAGCCCATTATATCCAACAATAAATCTTCAAACTAATCAACTTATTGCTCTCTTATATCTAAAGGAGAAAACAATAAATAAAAATATATCTAAAAGAAAATTATTAACAGAAAATTGTCTATTGACAAATTGAATTGAAACCGAAATATTTCATTAATTGCCACTTCATCTCCATACCCTAACCTGCATGATAATAGAGATATGATTTTCAAATTTAAGACATAGATTCAAGACAAAAGCATTACAACTATATCCAATCACATTCAAAAGGAATAGAAATTCATATTTGATAACAAAGAAATACAAATTAATAACTAAAACTATATTATAAAAACAACAAAAATATAAGAAATTCATGAAAAACTAGGAAGTGCAAATAGAGCAAAGAAATACAAAATTAAGGAATACCTAGAATTTATAAAGTTAAAAATCAATACTTGCACATGGCCAAATGTAGCTGTAAAGAGTGAGGAAAGAAAAAAAAAAGAAGAAAACTAATTAAAAGAGATAGGTATAAATTAGAAATACTATGAGAACACTGAAAAAAGAGAGATTAAGAGAGAATAAAGGATAATAAAATTAAAAAGAAAGAAGAAGAATTTTCATAATTGGTATTTCCATTTGTTAAAGAAAACACAAGCACAAAACTAACAAATAAGAAATGAAAAGAAAAAAAAAATTGAAGAAAATAAAGAACACGAGACAAAAGTTCAAAAATAGAGCCGGGTTTGTTTGATTTTACCTAAAATAGGGGCACACATGTTTCATGTATTTAATATAGGTTCTAAAGACCATGTAATATCTAATAACATGACATGAAAAATATTTCTTGACCGCACTAGGACACTCGTTATACAAGATATCCATATTTTAACAAATCCCATTTTTATTACCTTATAATTTCATGTAAGCTTTTGTTGAATGGAATAAGTAATTCCATGAAAACCTAAGTCACCACAAATAGACAATTCTAAATCCAACAAAGGTGAACAAAAAATGAACTTACCTAAAACCCCCACCAGGCCACCATCATCAACTTTGGTTCCACTTGTAGACAATACAAAATTTTGGTAGCCTACAGTATGGAATAATAATTCTCCAAACTATTTGACTTATTGCTCTCTTGGATTAAAAGGAGAAACAATCAATAAAAATAATTGAAAATTTAAAAAGAAAACTATCAAAGATAATGCATATTGATGAAATGAATTCAAACCTAGAGACCTCATTATTTGTTACAATATCTCTGTTCACAATATACCTTACAAGAGAATAAAGAATTTCCAAATCTGAGACATGACTTTAAGTTGTACAGAAATCCAACCACATCAAAATAACTAAAATTTAGATTTGGCAAAAGAATTCATATGAATTTAATCTGAGCATTACAGAACGAATTTAGACTTTAAGGCTTACAAACACTTTAATAAATTGCACTAAAATTAAAAGCAGAGAAATTTAAATTTAGAAACAGAGTTCACATAAAGAGGGATACAAATGAATAAAACCACAAACTTCAATGAATAATAACGAAATTAAATTCTAAAAAATATGTAATACAAAACATTAAAATATATGAAATCTAAGAGAAACAATGGAAAAGTTAACTAGAACAAACAAAATACGAAACTACCCAAGAAAAACAGAATCTGTAAGCTCAAGGAAAAAAAAACAATGCACACACAACAAAGAAAGAAAAAGGAAAAAAAAAATAGCTGGGGAGAGAAGGAGGGAGGGAATCGTACCTGAAAGAGATAGGGACAAAGAAGAAATACCAAGGGATCACTGAGAAAAAATAAAGGTTAGGAAAGCTTAAAGAATAAGAAATGAAAGAAGAAGAAAGAAAAAGAAAACCAGAATGATTTACATTAGAGTGTTTTGGTTTGTCAATGGAAATACAAGCTCACAGCTAACGGACAAGAAAATAAAATAAAAAAAATCAGAAAATGAGAAGCAATGAAAAGAAAATTAAGAAATAGGGAGTCAAATTCTATTTCTTTGTTCCTAACATGGGGGCACACATGTTGCCAATATATGTCATAGGTTTTAAAGACCTAGTCAAAACAACAATGTGTAACATAAAAGTTATCTTCTTTTTCAACCCTACACATGGCATTGATGAGGTTAATAATAACTTACCAAATAGAGACCCAATGTTGTTCATAAAAATCCGATTTTCCTATTAATTATCTTCTAGTTTCCCTTTATTTTCTCGAGAGAGAGATCCTCATATTATCACTCTTGTGAGGATTTTGATTTTTCATAGATTTGTCTTATTAAAATAAGCAATTACGAGTCAGGAGTAACAAATTCAAATGGACAGCTTTTACCGGCCATGGTCAAAGTCAACTCCTAACATGTAGGTCCCACGTAAAGGAATAACAGTTATTTTGAATGAGATGGATGGGTTTACTTTTAACATATGGGTCCCATGTAAAAGAATAACACTTCAGCTACATTTGGAATAATATGCATGACTTATAACTCATATTAACAAAGTGAACGCCAACATGTAAATGGATAGGGGTGTCTATAAAAAATCGAAAAACCGGATTTAATCGAAAAAATTGAATTGAAAAATGTGGTTAATCGAATTGATCGATTCGGTTTGGTTTGGTACTTTTGAAAAACGGAAGAACTGGTTTAGTTTTTGGTTAACTTAAAAAAAAAATTGGCGATTAATTTAACTGATTAGTGTATATATATTTATATGTATATTCTATAAATATATACATATATTATATTTATAAATATTATATATTTTTATAATATTTATAATATAATATTATATACATTTATATAATATATATTATAAATATAAAAATTTGAAGAACCGAATCGATCAAAAGCCAAAATTGACAAACCAATTAACCGATGAACCGATTTAGTTTTGGTTTAGAGAAATCAAAAAATCGATATAACCGATTCGATTTGAAAAAATTGTCAATATAAATGGTGGGGAAGGCGATGGTGTTTTTTGGAGGCAAATAATGTACAAGTGAGATTTTCTGAAGTTTATTAAAACCCATAGTCAGATGGTGTCACGGCATGAGCAAGATGAGGAGCAAAGTGGTAACGTGTAGATTTATGATTGACAGGGCCGAGCTTTGCACCTATTATGATAAAGGCTAGCCTGGGCCGAGGCCTGGCCCATCTCGAAATATAAGTTGGGCCTGGCAGGCCTTTATCTATAAAATATTATATATGTATAATATTTTATTATTTGACATATAAGATCAACAAAATTTATTTTAAAATATTTACATATAAAAAAATATAGGGAAAATCCCACTGAAACCACCCCATAAATTTTAATTTCATTATACGCCCACAAAAATATAAAACTTCAACGCCCCCACTTATGACATAATACCCCCCACTGTTTTCGAATCAATATTCCCACTATCACTATTCCCATTTGTACCGGTGATGTAAAAGTTTGTAAGGTATACACGAGTGGGGCTAGGATTAAGGTATTAGGATCATACTTGGCCCTAAAATTTGAGAGTTTGATGCAGGCCTGAGCCGAGGATGGGCTTATGTCTCTAAACAAAAAACCTAGGCCCAAGCCTAGATTTTCCAGGCTGGGCCAAGCAAAAAATGACCATGCACCCCTAGGCTTAAGGTATTAGGATACGGCCTGGCCCTAAAATTTTATAGTTTGATGCAGGCTTGAGCTCAAGATGATTTGATATGGCTCTAAACAAAAACCTAGGCCCAAGCCTATATTTTCCAGGCTGGACTAGGCAGAAAATGGCCACCCCAAATAATATGTCTCCCTTGATGAGGTTGAGGGAATTTTTAGATATAATAGGTGTTGGACAGTTTTTGTATGCCCTTAGCTTCAATCAATTCTGATGTACTTTTGATATTTAATGTAAATCAATGAAGTACATGTTTGATTCATGTTTAGTGGTATGCTTCTATGTAAGACCCTAAAACTGAATACTTAATGAGGCTTGTGTTGGTTTTGAATGTTCACAGCCGTTGGATAAGCTTAGGGAGATTTATCCTGCCAAGGCTGACACTGGTGTGCTGCCAACTGTTAGGGTGGCCTGTCTCAGCCGCCAGGGTGAGACCCAAGGCACATGCAGTGTGGGATTAATTGAACCCTTGAACCGGACAAGATTTCCAGTATTGCTCTGGACCTTGGAGATTGATGGGCAAAACTGGAAAGTTACACCCGACCCCTAGACCCGATTATGGTACTGCACTATGTGTCGGATTAGGCTGTCTTTGATATGCCAATCAGTGAGATCCTTAGCGGGGATCAAAACCTGAGTATGTTGGGACAGTCTGAGAATTCATCTGAGTAAGTGATCATAGTGATGGGATCAGCCCCTTTGTCGGACAAAGGTAATGATCGGGAATGCACTCTCTCTGGTGGAAAGCAAACTGGCAGTAGTTGATTTCAATCGTTGAAATTTGTTTTGCAAAATTATATATATGATATATATTTAAGTATGGTTTCAAAATGTTTGCAAATGGTTTTAATTCCTGGGATCCATGTGAGTAGAGAGTGCAGCACTGTTCCTTGCAGCCGAGGGAGAGGTCCTCTCTTGTCGGKMAGTGCTTGATCATTATTGGCTGAGAGGTTAAGTGTAAGGCCATTTGGGATAATACCTAATGGGCTAATCTTGCACTTGCCCACAGTCCCTGGGTTTTTATATGATGCCTTGGCCCAGGGACCACTTAGTGTAAGTGTTGGACCCATAGTGTCCATATGATGGGATCAGGGGTTCACTAGGCTTTCCAATGAATTCGGCTAGGTGTTGTAATAAAGGCTGGGCCGAACCCATGTGGCTGGTGTGTAGATCAATGCTTGGGTCCCACACCATACAAAGAAGCCCAACTGGGCAGCAGATTGGAAACTAATTGAGCACTGATTACTTAATGGGCCAAAAGCCCATTTTGAATTAGGCTAATATGATCACCCACTTATGGGGCGGATCTGAGAGTAGGGTTAGCTGATAGGATGGGGTTTTAACCCTATCCACTCTTAGAGAAC